AATAGTTAACTCCCAAACACAAATCTCATCCTGGGTATGACGATAAACTACATCCGCGTACTGGGTATGATGATAGACTACATCTGCGTCCTGGGTATGACGATAAACATCAAGGCCTCTGATAATGTTTTTGAAAAAATAATGTTGCCAGATATACGTTTTTGAAAAAATAATGTTGCCAGCTATATGTTTTTGAAAAAATAATGTTGCCAGCTATATGTTTTTGAAAAAATAATGTTGCCAGCTGTAGGTTTTTGAAGAAAAAAAGAATAATATTGCCAGCTATATGTTTTTGGAAAAAATAGTATTACCAGCTATACGTTTTTGAAAAAATAATATTACCAGCTATATATTTTTGAGAAAAAATATTAACAGAAATAGATTTTTGACAAAGCAAAAATATTACCAGGAAAAAAAAAAAAGTTGTCAGCATTAAATGACCCATTGAGGTTGATATGCCGTAAAACAAACCAAACCAAACCAAACCAGATCATCTTCTCATTTTAACCTTCCGAGCAATAGATAAAAATTGTTTCCCAATTTGTTTTGATCAATGAAAATATATCTGTTTACAAATTCTCAACAAAAAATTATGCTGTTTTTCTTTCTTGGGTCAATCACTGTTTTAGTGAAAACATAAACCAGATCACCTGCCTGTTATGACAGATTGATTTTCATAATCCTAACCCTCACAGTGAGTTCATTCTCTGTTTTCATTTCTCAATTTGTTTTCGCTTACGAAAATATAATTCCTGTCTGCTTCTGTTTTCACCAATGATATATGTTTTTCTAATTTCCTAAGAAAGATTTAGGGTATTTCCCAATTAGCTTTACGCACATACCAGATTTTCGATAGATAAAAGAAAGTAAAATCTTGGTGCATCCTTCCAATTCATAGGGATGAGGCAACCCAGATGGCCCTTTCTTCACTTCTACATTATCAGGGCAAATGTTTTCCATTCTCTCTTTCTTTCAGTTTATATTTCATTTGGGGTTTAACCCTTTTTCTGCTTAGAATTAATGTTTAACCACCTTATAGTCTCAGTGTCATAGTATGACATCTAATGATAAAAAAAACATTAAGCAGTGTTATCATGGAAGTGCATTCAATTTTTTTTATTGACAGATAGTAAAATTATTAATCTTAAATTTTTTCCTTTTATATTTGTTAAAAAATAAAATCTTTTTTTATTTATTTATTTTTAGTAATTTTCATTTTTCATGAAGTTTTGTCTGTTTTATTTCAAATATTCAGTCACTGCTCTTTTGAGGCAAAAATGTCTGCTTTTCATGCTAAGCATAAATTTTAGATTTCCAATTTAATCTTTTATCACTTCTAGTTGACAAACCCCAATTATATAAGTTATTTTTTGAGTCACTGAAAAAATGTGAAACTGCTTATGTCTTCTGCTCCATTCTTTTCATCTCTGGAAGCATTTAATGATAAAAAGAATCAATATTTTTCAGTCTTTGAAGAATCCTTGTACATTTCAAAACTTTAATTTCATTCTGATTAAGAATGACAATACTTTTCAATCAGACTTATAAACAATCAAGAATTCATGCTAATCAAGTTTAAATAAGCAATTCCTTATTTCAATTCTCAGATTTCAAATTTAAAACCATTTGCATGTTTTTTAATGCTAAGAAAGATCAGTTTGTAAATTTTATTTCTCTGAAATATAATCAGCAGTTTTTTTTTTAAGTTGTAGAGTGTTTCTATCAATGAAATGAAAAAAAATATAAGTTCAATAAAAGTGATTCTTTTCTTCACTTAATATAGAGAATAATAATATTTATTATGCAATGTCTTTTTCTGTTTGAATCATTATTACTGAGCTTTGGAAAGTTTGTATTACATTTTTTATTTAATAAGTACTTTAATCTGACACAAGATCACACTTAATGAGACATACAGTGAGGCCATGAAAATGAATACTGGCCTTTGAAATAAACCAGTGGTAAATGTTGAGCAGAGAAAATGAAAAGTACCCCGGGACTGTTTGTCCACAAGAGGATGCCAGGTTTTATTGTTGTCAGCCTTTTATATACAATGGGACAGTCAGTTATCCAAACAAAATTTCAAGGTTCAGTGAATATTTAATGTTACAATTTTGTCAGATAGTACAAATCTGTTTATTGGTTTATTGCTGTTCTCATTTGTCACTACTCAGCCATTTTAAATAGTATCAAAATAATTTTAACACAGATGATAATGAAAGTCAGATACTGACACCACCTGCAGTTCCCATTAATAAAGCTGTGGATGAATTTCGACTTTTCATGTGAAGTTGACACATAATCATCAAATACAATCGTTGGCAAAAACAAAGAAATGAAAACCTCAAGCAACAGCTACTGAATGTTTTTCACACAAAACACTGATCGATCACCACATCAATGAACTTTATTTACATGAACTTGGCATCTTCAATAAACTCAGTGCACTTCCTGTGAACACAGGGACATGTATTTTTTAACATTATGTCATGATTCTTTGACTTTTCTCCTCCATATTTTTGTTATTTTAACTACAAGTAACATTTTATTTATAAAATAAAATATCACATATTTTTAAGCAATATTCTGTATTTTTATTTATTTCATGAAAGAAAACACTTTGAACTGGGTTTTTTTATGGTCAGATCATTTATCTCTAGGATTCCTAAAGTGGGCAAGTGGGGTGGGCAATGAGGAAAAGGGGGGGATGATTAAGAAAAAGGTTGTTAGGGGGCAGTAGATGTGCATTAGAATCAAGTAATAGTTTTTTCTTTTTTTTTTTTTTCTTTTACAAATCTGCACCACTTACATATGCTTTACATTACAAAGATGAAAATTAATATAAGTGGTGTGATAGATGAACACATTGTTTTATTTTATATTGTTGTCTGTAGTCAAATGTCCAAACAGATGTTTGTATTTTGCTCAAGTTATCTGGACAGGAGGCATCATATCACCAATCAGATGAGACAGCCAAAATCTGCTCCAGGTTTGTAGGTGTAGTGATACACAGCCATGGATATCCATGTTGTTTTAAATTTTCAAGAAATGTTTTCATATGGATGGGTGAAGTGTATGATAGGTATGTGGCCTGGTGGCCAAAGGGGTCTGCAACTAGATAAGGTTTTGGAAGTACTGAATTATTCAAACAAAATGCTACCCTCTCGTCTCGTTCAGATAATCGAGGTTCCACTGTAATGCATCTGGTCTGTCTTCTCTATCACTGTGTTGTGATGTTGTGTGTATACTTGTGTTTGCAGGATTTTAAGGTATATGCATATCAATTGGCATAGTTGTAGATTTTAGAAAGTATAGTTAACATAACTCTCACCTCAGACCATTTACAAATTTAAAAGCAAATATATCAAAATTCTAGTGTGAATTTTACCAGCAGATGAAAAAGTGAAGTGGATTTTTGTTAGCATCTGAATAGTTTCACTTATGAAGAGGATGTGAAATAATCATTGAAATTTCAATATAATGAACAGATTGTAAAATACCTTTTACATTCAAAGTTGTAAGTATGAGAAATTAATGTGTTTGCGTACCTATATGCACATAGGAATACATAAGCGTACATGCATTGGCACACAGACATCTGATGAACATAAGCCTGAAAAACATGCCAGCAAAATGATAAAAATTAACAACAAATAAAGTTTTCAAAGTTACGAGGGGTGCTGAAAAGTTCTCAACTCGTTCTCCTTTCCAAAATCTGATCAAATGATTTCATTTATTATTTTTTTTTAGAAGGGCTCTTTGAAAAAAAATTTTCAGCACACCTTATGAATACTTTAAAAGAATTTTCATAGGCATTTTTTCTGAAAAAGATTTCCTGTTAGTGTTGTGTGTGTATATCACAAGTTATTGCATAGGTAGATATATGTAAAAGTAAAATATATCAGTGTATCTAAGTTTGCATAATATATTTTTTTAATGTATATCTTTTGGGTGTATGTAAATGTTGGGATAGGACTGTATGCCAACTGTAAGTTTTATCTCTACATAGGTGTGGTTACATTTGTGTGTCTGTGGTCCCCTTCTAATATGGAAACAAATGATGAATAATTCTCCTGACACCTTCCATTACTTATGGGGTTAGGGTGTGGTTAGGTTGAAGGGAGAGATTGCTAAAATGAAAATAGTGGCAAAGTGGGGATGAGATGGGACAGACTTCCTGCCCTTGTACTTGTAGTAATTATGGCTTACTTTAACTGTTCCCTAATAGTCAATTGTAGCTGCAGTTGTCGAATTGATCAGCCAGCAAGTTTTAAGAGAGGTACTGAAAAATTTTCGGCCTGACTTAAAATTTGACTAAACATCAGCATGTTTATTTGAGCCTAGAACTTTTCAGCACCCACGTAAAAGTAGCAAAGTATTGTGTTTGTACATGTAAATAATACACATAATGTTTTTTTTTGTTTTTTACAATGATGTTCACACATGCTGTTTGTAGTGTACCTATTCACAAACATTGTGGTTGTGTCGGCGTTTGTGTGTGTGTGTGTATATATATATATATATATATATATATATATAAGACATTTAGAGAGAGAGATGGACACACGTACAAAGTGGGAACATTTGAGTTGTTACATGTATGTGTTTAGTGTCCGGTTATTTCTTGTTGATGTGAATTAATCTGAGTGTAAAATACATTATACATCATATAACAATGTATATGCATATCTACATAAAACTAAAAGGTTTATGTTTCGAACCTTTGCGTCAGTTGGGTAATGAAAATTGTAAAGTTAATTAGTAAAGGTCTCTGTCTTTCTTTCCACACACACACACACACACACACAGAGTTTTGTAAAGTGAATGTGTTGACATTTTTTTTACACATATCTGGAAAACGTCTAGCTAGACGAATATACAACATTACAGTATGGGTGGATAGATACATACATTGTGTGTGTGTTAGTATACTTAGATGTACACACTATGTGTGTGTGTGTGTGCTACATTTTAGAATGTAGGTTTTGTGTTTGGATCTATTAGAGATCAGAAGAATATTTGATGAAGTGTAGGTGAAGTGGGGAAGTTGTAGAAGTGTGAGGGAGGGCAAGAGAAAGAAGTTTAAAAAAAGAGAGAGAAATGGGTGTGTAACGAGAAAGTAAGCTGTGACTTACAAGGGCGGAGAAAGGAAAAAAAAAAGGTCGATGGCAGTGGTGTGGAAGGTGGGGGGGACAAGGAAAAATAAAGTAAACAAAAGAAAAAGGTCTGCGCCGGGCGGAAGTACTGAGATGGAAGAACATGCTTGGGAAAGGCCCTTGCGTTTCCTTTCCATGGCTTTTATGGCCCTCCTGTGTGAATCAGGGTTAACAGCTACCAGACTTGTTTGGTCAAGGGAATAGGCCGCCGCCGCCGCCACCACCACCGCAACTACGATTAAGAGGGCTGTGCTTCCGTTAGGAACTATCATCATCATCATCATCATAACTATTGCCGCCGCCAACGTGTTTTCTGTTAGCCTCGTCACTTCTCGTGTTGGCAATGAACCAGTTCTGCAAAGTACAGTTTATTTTATTATAGATATTTCTTTTCACTACCACTTGCTCTATCTATCTACACATAGAAAAAATCTTGAACAACCGTGTATAGACACGTTGTTCATATCAAGTTATCCCAAAAGAAATAACACGTGGAGTAATTTGGAATATTAGGAAAAACAAAAAAAGAAAACAATTTTTAAAATTTTTCGGGCAATAATCCGTAATGAGCGCGATGCTTGTCATTTTTTTTTTACGTCCTACAAAAAAAAAAACAAAAAAAAATAAGTAGATAAAAATAACAACCAAAGTTTTCATTCTTTGTCACTTTTTTTAACACTCCCTACCACAAACTTTCATCCCGTCCCTTCCCCAACTCTTGCAGTTAGTATTGTAACGGCTGTCTTTAGTAGTGATTGTGGTATTAATTCATGTGTTATATCGCCTGTCTGTCTCGCAGTCAGACCAGACAGATAGGTGCTATAGTTAGAGAACCAGGCTCTGATTGTTTAGATAGGCCGTAAATCGTACTCACACTTTACAAGAAAAAAAAAAAAAAAAAACAGAGAGAGATGGTTTGGTCATTCTATTGACAAAGCCTCACTACTGGGTAAGTATATTTTTACTCCCACACCCCCCTCTTCTAAATAAACAACCATCTGATTCAAAGCCACTTGAAAAGTCCTAGCTTGCCTGTCTATATTCTTACTATCACAACACCTACTTTGTTGTTACATGGGGGCCAGTGGCTTTTCCCCTGACTGGCCTGTTGAGAGATGAACTTTTGTCGGAGGTAATATACTTTGAAAGAAGATGAAATTTTATATCAGCTGTTAGATTGATATCTGTGAATAGAGTAGGCGCGGTCTTCGTCGGTTGGATGCCCTCTGATTGGTCGATGGTAGAATGAGTGACATGTAGACGATAACTAATCAACGGGCCGGATGTCAGTGATTGGTCGTTGTTGTTAGCCAATGACAGAAGTCGGGCGTTATTTAAGCTTTTGAGTTCGAGAAAGAAAAAAATATGTGGAGATAAAATTTTAAAATAGAGAGCAAAAAATAAAACCCACTGATATGGTAGACAGAATTGGATGGCGGAGGGTTTGTGAGGAGATAGAAAAAATTGTCAGGGTTGGGTTGAGAGCAGAAGGGGGATAGGCTGTGGTGGTTAAAAGGCAAGAGGACGTCGTAGATGGAGAGGGAAAGGGTCCATTGGCCGTCTGTTTGTGAACACATGGCAGCAGTCTCTCTTTGATCCATTAGCCCCCTGTGCTTATAGCGAGGCCGACTAACTGAACCATGTAGTCACTGTTGGCTAGGTTGATTGGGGTGGGGGGTGGGGTGCTATGTGGGGTTTCAGGCGAATATGGCGTACCAGCCACAGGGATATTCCCCCACCCTCGGAACCCTTGCCTATTCGCATCTCCTCCATAACTGAAATCAACTAAAAAACCTTTTTTTTATCCTTTACACACTTCACATTAGACCTTTTATCCTTACGTTATTGCTTCTTTTTTTTCTCATCTCTTTTCCTGGTTAGATTTTGTAAGCCTTTTATTCAGTGCATATCAATGATGATGATAATGATGATCTTGTTTGCTTTTTTTCTGATTTCTTTTATTTATCCTTGTCTCTTTTTCTTTGTCCTTTTTATACCCTTTCCTTCTTTTCCTAATCGTTCAGCCCCATCTCTTCCTTTCTTATAATTATCATTACTACTTCGTTGTCTTTCTCATAATTATTATTATTATTAAGGAAAGTAGGTCTATAGGGGTTGGGATGTAGGAAGTACAGCCTGAAAAAAAGTGGCAGTTGGTGTGATAGGATGGGAAGCAGGGTCACAAGATCGGACAGGGAGTTTGGTTTATAGAGGGTGGGAGGCTCTGAGAATCTAGCTTTATCTTCTTGACTATTATTACTTGCCAATACACCACACAGCCCCTTATTTTTCGTTTCCCTCCACTCCACCCGATTTTTTCTCCCATTTCATATTTTCTTCCCTGAACCACCCAAATTCACCCACCCCGTCACCTGCCCCTTTACTTCCACACTATCATTCCACAATAACCATTCCAATCCCCTCCCCTGTTTGTATTCATTTTATTTATTTTTTCCCCTGATTTCATTTTACCACCTCCTCTCTCTATGATCCTGCCCCACACCACCTACTTCTCTTTGGGTCCTCTTTTTTCAATACTTTATTAGTTACCCCAACCCAACTTAGTTTTGCTTTTCTTTCTTCTTCAGACTCACCTCAATGCCTCTTCCCAACCCAGTCTGAGCAGGTGTTGCTACTCTACAATCACCCTCCCACTCCACCACCTACCCAGTATGAAAAGAAATTAGAGCTAGGCTAGTGAGCACAGCCGTTCACTAGAATGACAAATAGACATGACCCCAGGGATGTAAGGGTAGGTGATGGGTAAGGCCAGTCAAATGGACTGGATGGGACTGGACTGTGGGGTGGTGGTTGTCAATAATATGCTGTGATAGTAGGGAGAGGAGTAAACACCCCACCTCCACAGTATTAGCATGTTCCAGCCAGGTGCACTTAGGAAAGGTAGCAAGGGGATTTTTTTTTTTTTTTTTAAACATAATTTCAGCTTAAAAAAAAAAGAAGGAAGATATTTTAAGGGTGGAGAAGTTCTTATGTGTTTGTGGGAGGTGGGGAAGAAAAAGTATTAACCAGAAATCTTGGAATTTGGGTTTTTATAAGAACTCTGCAACATCACCTCCAATTACAACAACAAAATGCTCCTATGATGCCTTTTGTTACAATTGCATAAGATGAAAAATTGAAATGTTAATAACAGCAACTAGAGACTTAATAATAATAATAATAATAATAATAATACCATATTGTTTACTAGAGGAGATACAAAATTATATCTTAATGTAAACAAAATATTTCTTGAAATGGTATTCTGTGGAGTTAAATAAACATAACTGCAAAAGCTTAAAATTCTTTCATACATAATTTTTTTTTTTTTGTCATAAAAAGTCTTTCAACTAATGGAAAGCTGTTTTTTAATAATAATAATAATAATGCTAATAGGAAAACAAAAAAGCTACTATACACAACAACTGCTGTTACAATGCTTAAATTCATTGGCTTCAAATTGAGCTCATAGGAAACCCAAATATGTTGGATGGGGTGGTTGTGGATTGTGCAGTATTAGAGGTAGAGTAGGTTGGGTGGAGTTGTCAGCTGTGGATAAAATGTGGTGGATGGTATGGTGAAGGGTGGATTCAATGCTTTCCTTCCTTAGGTATCTTAACTCGCCCTCCGCCACTTAACTCCCCAAACTTTGAGGTTGTATGTCTTCTCCTCTATCTGCAACTGGGTGTATCTCCCGTGACAACACTGTTTAAATATTGCTCAGAAATTCACTTGCTTGCCTTGGTTGTTAAGTGCTGGATTTGATGGTAGTTGGTGTTATGGCTGGTTGGGTTTGTGTTGGCTTACTGGGAAGGTGGGTGACAACATCTTTGTTGTTAATTAATAAATGGGCTTTAAAACCAAGCAGGGGCTTTGTAATGGGAGAGTTGAAGCCGTTAAAACTAAGGTTGAGTGAAGGCTCAAGCCTCTGGCAACTTGTTTTCTTCCCCTCACTCAGATGCATTTTAAATCTTCTGCTTTTGTTCTGTGATTGTACTATTAGTTATTCTGCTATAGTTTTTAGCATGAAAACTGTCTGCCATTTAGTTAAATTTTAGACTCAGCTGCTGAAGTATCCAAAAGGATTTTTACGACCAGCTGGAATCAGTTATTTCTTAATACTAATATTTTGTCTTTTTACTGATATTCTCAAGAAAAGTCAATTTGTAGTAGTTGTCTGAAGTCACTTTTCTTTGATATTTGGTGTTTCTGCATATTGTCTTTGATTGACCAATAGTAACAGAAAAAGAAGCCAAGAGAGAAATGCAACAGAGAGAGGGAGAGAAACACCTTTGTCTTGGTAGAATTCGGTGCTATAGTTAGAATGCATATGAACAGGTGACAAAAAGTATATGTCCTATTTGATATTTTCAAAAATTAAATGCTCATCCATCACAACATCAGCAAAAAGGTTTCTCTCAGCAATTTGACCTTATTGAACTGATCATACTGATCATGTTTTAATAAAACAGGAGCAAATAGCTGTATCGTCAGCATAGATACCAAGTTGAGAACTGATGACGTCAGGAAGGTCATTGATTGAAATTAGGAACAACATGGGTCTAAGGATAGAACCCTGGGGAACACTAATGCAAAAAGATCTAGAAGATTGGCCATTTGAGACAACTTTCATTTTGCAATTTGATAAGAAAAACTGAGTCTATTCAAAAATTTGCCCAGAAATACCATAGCCTTTCAATGTGTGATGAAGACCAGTATGCCAAACCCTGTCAAATGCCTTTGAGATATCCAGTGCACTAGCCTGAGCTTCATCATTCTTATCTAAAGCATGATAAATACTTTCAGCAATAATCATTAATATATCAGCAGTTGACCTAGAGAAGCAAAAGCCATGTTATCTGAAAGAAGACCATGCAAGGTGAGATTAAACATCCAAAGTTAGAGCCTTTAGTAATTTCCAAAAAAGAGGTAAAATGCTAATAGACCAATAGTTCTTAAAGACTAAAACTACTGAAGAGGATTTCCAACAAAAAGGAAAAGAAGAAAGAGCAAGGCATTTATTATAAAGAGATAACAGGAGCCAGTTAAGGAGCACATTTCTTAAGGCCTATTCCAGGGATGCTATCAAGTCCACATGCTTTAATGTGGATTCAGTTTAGAGATGATAGCATAAACCATGGACTATTATGTATATCACTCAATAGAGACTCACTTGTAAGTGGTAAGTCAGGCAAAGATGCTCCAGATGAGTCAGGAGAAGAATTTGAAGAGAATTTGCAACTAAAACATTCTTAACTTCATTTCTATAATCTTAGAAAGGATGAAACAAGACAAATAACGTGATATTTAAAAAAAAAGATGTTAATAAATCTGCATATATGATTTTGTTAAAAAGGATGCAGTTAATCCTTTCTTACTTCAGATTTCTTCAAAATCAACTCAAAATTTCTTCTGCATACCATGTAGAGGAGTCCATTCATTTCAAACAGCAAAAATTACTTGAGAGCAATACTCTCAGACATAATGAGTTCAATCCTTACAGGAAACTCTATTATTGTTAAATTGAAATCATTATTTACTAGACTAGCAAGGTGAGTTGCAAACCTCAACTTTCAGTGTCAGGCTCATTAACAAAGATCAATGATTGAGTAATGAAAAATATTTTAATTCGGTATTTGTTCATCTTCAAGCAGGCATATCTTTATGGTTATGTGTCTATATGGAAACACAGGTACATGTGTGTATGATATATATTTTAAGCTTTTCACTCCAAGCAAGACAGGAGTGCCACTAGCATGCAAGGGTTTACAGAGAGTGGGAGCAAGAGTAAAAAAGCGTTATAGGGGAAAGGATGAAGAGAAGAACAGGGAATAGATCAAGTCATCTGGAGATGTTGATTGACATTACATTTGAATAGATGTAGATTATAGCTTTCAGGGAAGCAAGCAAGAAGAAGGGAGTTCTACAGATGGGAAGTGTGAGACATGAAGCTATTGAAGTAGAAGAGACAGCTGCATTTAACTGTTTTGACAGTGAAAGGGTGGGACTGAGATGCCCACCTAGTGGCACGTTTAAATTCGTGCAGTCTGGGAACTAGCGAAAGTAGCTCATCAGAGCACTTACCATGAAAGTATTTGTAGATAAGACAGAGGGAAGCAATGGCACATCTGTGAGAGATCGACTGTAAATGAGATGCCAGTTCAGGGCCAATCACATTGCATATCCATCTCTGGATTTTGTTGAGGACCTTAAGACAACAGCAGGGGCTCCAGACCATATATGACAGCAGTATTCCATGCAAGGGCAAATGGTTGATTTATAGATTTGAAGGATGGACTCTGGCAAGAAAAACTTTCTGGCATGACACAGAGAACCGGCTTTCTTTGCAGTAAATGAAGCTATTGATTCAATGTATTTGTTCCATCTCTGGTCAGTGGACAGCGTGAGACCAAGCAGTTGCAGAGAGGTGCTCTCATGGAGTTGAGCATCAGACATTCTAATGGGAAGCAGGGAGGGATCTCTGTTGTGTGTAAAAGAGCAGTTTTGTTTTTGAGGTGTTAAAGTTAACCAGCCATTTCTTGCCACAGTCAATAACTGATTGGAGGTCCTTTTTGAGACCAATGACCAAGTTAGTTTTGTC